CTGCTCCTGATCATGTTGAACGAGATGGTTGTCTTCATGCCAGCGTGTTTCCAAGCCAGACTGAGCATGAATGATTGCTGATGGATTTGTTCACCCTGAACCGTGTGGAAGACAAACTCGCTGTGTTGATGTTCGCCACAGCACTTGCGTTCGCTTAAACGCTGAAGCCACTCAAACTCCTCACCAGTGAGGCAGAGTGAGGCGTTGCCAAACGACTTAAGAGGTCTTGTGTTCCTCAACTTTTGAAAAGAAAATTCAGAAAAAACAGCACATTGTTGTGGGTTAGTTATTCTCAGTTGACTGGTGTTTGAAACTAATGGACTCATGTGGAATACTGAACTACATTTTAGGTTAATGGTTCATGCCAAGACGGAGGCGCTTTTGCACATTTGATTTGTGACAGATGCTGAGCAAAATTCTACAAACTGAGTTCTCGCTCACTCTACAAAGTGCATGGGACTAGAAACATGCTCACAGACTTACTGAACTGAATACTGAAAATTGTTCATATAAGAAAAGAGTTTATCATAAGGTTTTTCCGACTAACCAGGACTTGAAATTTGTTTCCATGGTCCCAGCTGTCACGGTTAGTGATGTTTGTCTTTGTCATGGATGTCAGGACAACAGATCTGTGGCCAGTAAGGATGGAAAGGTAGCACATGATGTAACCCATTAAAAGATTGTGGTCATTGGCATCCCACCTCTCTTCCAGTCCCTCTACAAAGCAGAAATGTATTTTCAAATACAGCTCAGGAGAAACAAGCCCAACAAACAGAGGGGAAAACCAAGTGTACTTACCAAACAATTTAGGGATCGCTTTGTTACAATCCTGCATAAATTTGCTTGCCTCGACTGGATCAAGCTGGTTCCCTGTAAAACAGTGGGTCATCAAAAAGTCAAAAGGCAGAGTTCTTACACTTGCTAACTGTATGAAAAACAAGCTTCTGCAGAGCTTGGTAAAAGCTAACAGCCATTGCACATGTGTTTCTGCAGGGAAACAACTAACACATGCTTGATACTAGAGCCTAACTATTTTAGGAACAGATTGATTTGTGATTTTTCTGGCAGAATTTGAGATGTCATTTTCATTTTGGATTTTCTTTAAATCATAGTTCACATTATTCACAACATACAGTAAAATTACAGACATTAAAGGGACTTTACAGAGTTTTAAATTTTTACGCTCGCGATTGCCCCCTCAGGCAAAAGCGTAACGGCAGCTTCAATAGTAGGCTCATGCACGAGGCGCGCATGCTGTATGTGCACACTCCTTAACGAAAATAACAGCTGAGACAGTCCCTTGTGTGTGTGTGTGGCCCGGAGGACAGTGGATAGAACACGCAGCTAATTAAATAATGTGGTTCTGTACCTTTCTCTTCAGCACAGCTGACAAAGGTTTATGATGGGTCAGTCCTCCTGCATGCTCAGATCATTCCCTTCCCTTGCTTGAAAAATTGTTCCAAAATGAAAGTTGAACCCACATCTTTTTTATCTGTGAATTCAATGCCGTCCGGCGAGTCTCAAATAAAAATTTGGGCATCTTACTGTAAAAAATATACCATTAATGTAAAAAAGAAACTCTAGATAAACTGTGTTCTCATCTGGAATCGAACCCAGGACTTCTGCATGGAAGTCAGACATCTTACTAGGACTAAGTCTTACTAAGAGCTAAAGTACCAGTGACATCCTTTGTGTCTGTAACATTTATATCCTTGATGACAGCTGAAACAACATCAAACCAAAGAACGGTTCGGAGCAGAAACAAACGTGTTGCGTTTATACTTTTTGTTGAGTGTATATGATTTGCATCTGTAAAAAGAGTATCATCTACCTGTCTTTTGACACAGCACGTTCTGTTGGTGGACACGAACGCCTCTGTGGACATCTGCCTTAATCCTTTTGAGTTCATACATCAGGCTTTCCAGTTCCACATTTTGCAGCTTGCTCTGTCGTTGAAACGCCACCTGAACATGTCTAATAAACATGCTGACATTGGCCAGCATATTCCTGGCCGTCGTGGTTGCATAGCCCTTGTTGAGCAAGTAGCTTGGCCACCTATGGAAACAAAGAAATGAGACATCAATTGAGGAGCTCTTTAAAGTATTTCGCCCACTGATCCACAACATCCTGAGAAGGCAGCGGTTGGGTTTGTGCCATAAAGCCGTTCCGCGTCACTATGTCTGTTGTACAGTACTCCACAAAGACATAGACAGGCGCAGTGCGGTGCAATGCTTTAGACAGGACTGGCACCTATCTTCAGCTCTTTGGCGCTTCTGAGACACGTTGTGGCGCTCCTCGTGTGCCCACTCCAATTATAATGGGTTCTATTAAAATGCCACTTCTGGTGTGCCCCAGGCTTATGAAAATATATGTAACTCTCATATAAGCTCTTTTATTATTCATTGTTACATGCTACTCTTTTCATTATGGGATCATGTTATAATATTAAAGGCCTCTCTGTGTTTCTCTCCTGCACAAGCTCTTAAAACAGCTGCAGGAACTCCAAAAGGGAGTGAGACATTGCAGTCTCTTCTTGTACCAGGTTACCAAGGATGTTTCTGCTCATCTTAGGATTACAAGTTCTTGTGACATGTTAGATCCTGCCTAACAAGGCAATATATATATATATATATTTACCTTATAAGCTCATTTTATTATTCTATGCTATGGAAACTCGCTCAGATACTCAAGGCCTCCACACAAAGATTAATAGCTGTGTATCTTCTCCTGCACCAGAGAAAGGAGTGTGCACATTCCATCTCCACTCAGTGCCTCTCCACACCGTGAATGTATCTTCTCCTGTCATGAATGTATCAGGATGTTCCTGGTAATTTCAAGGATGAATGTTCTAGACTGTCCGCTAACAAGGCTGTTATTTTCACCTGTCATAATCATTGACGTATGTACATGGCAAACTGCGTATGTAACATTCCTGTAATCTTCAATAAAAATCAGCCGTTTTCAGTAGAACGGCGAGAGTCTGTCCGATGCAACTGACAGGAGCAGATCGCGGGACCTGCTGTGTGTTGCAAAGGCTCTCCCTCATGAGCGGTGAAACAGTGAATGGACTTCTGATCATTTGTCTCCTCGTTCTGTCAACTTAAAAGGTGTTTAACTCCATCTTCTCCGTACCCGTGCTTGGTCTAACAGAAGAAAGACCAACAAATTTGGCGTCACGAACAGGATTTTTTCTTTTTGAAGAAAAAGGAGTTTTTGGAGGATGATTCGACCTACTGACCCAGCGAACGATCTTGGCACAGAACACCGCGGTGGAAAACAAGGTGAGCAGAGCCTATTATCTAAAATCTGCTCATTGGATTTATCCAAAGCCTTTGTGTCCAGAATCATAGTAGCTGCGGTCCTAAAATAATTGTTGGAGAAGAAAGTGGAGACAAGTGCAGAAGAAATAAGAGATTTTTTGTAATGGTTTATTGGTAAAATAAAATGAGGATTTTCACAATGGTTTAATGATAAATGAGATAAGGAAATGGAACAGAACAGTAGGGGTTGGAGGCCCAGGGTAATAAGAAGCCCTAAATTCCACTTAGAGAGGGGTTGGAGGCCCAGGGTAATAAGAAGCCCTAAATTCCACTTAGAGAAGGGTTGGAGGCCCAGGGCTATTAGAGAAGCCCTAAATTCCATTTTCCAGGTCGTGGCTGACCACACTATTTGCTGACGAGTGAATAGAATATATAACGAGGTTATATAATGCTTGGTTGGAGTCCATAGGTGTGGGAAGCCTAAAATTCTACAGGTCAAGGACCTGGTTCGGGTTAAGGCCCTGGGAGGCTAAAGAGAGCTCCCTAAATTTTAAAGGCACAGGTCAAGGACCTGGTTCGGGTTAAGGCCCTGGGAGGCTAAAGAGAGCTCCCTAAATTTTAAAGGCACAGGTCGAGGACCTGGTTTGGGTTAAGGCCCTGGGAGGCTAAAGAGAGCTCCCTAAATTCGAAAGGTCAAGGACCTTTGCATGAGATGAGAAAAATGTTCTAAGGTAACTGTTTTTGCATAAAATAAGTAATGTTTAAAATATGACAAGCAGCCCAGTTGAAGCCACGAGAAATAAGGTTTTATTGAGAAAGTCAGCAGAAAAGGCGATGAAGGAAAAAGGGGTAGATGTTAACAGTAGAGGTAACTGGAGCAAGATTTGGGAAGTGAAGGCTGCAGAATCGAGAGAAAAAGGCACAGCTGTAGACAAGCTTCCTGTGTGTGTAAGCTGAGTTCAGCCTGTGTGTGTGAGGCGCAGCAAGAGGCTGCTTACGGCTCTGGATTGAAAGTGCAGCACTAGGAGAGTGCAGAATGCAGAGCAGAGTTTTGGGAGCTCCGTGTGTGTGTGTGTGTGTACAGCGCTGGGTGTGTGTGTGAAGACCTGATGCGGTACCAGAAAATAAATAAATAAGATAAATAAGAGCTTTAAAAAGTTGCAACTCGTATATGTAAATTACACTGCAGTGCTAAAATTAATGTTTGGAGCTACGCAAAATTCAAAATTCTGCAACCCTGTTCTGATCAGTCTTTGAACAGAACACCATAAGTTAATAAATAAAAGGTTTTTAAAGTAACATATGTGTATGTATGTGTGTATGTATATGTGTATACATATATATACATATGTAGTGTACAAGCGTGATAATCATTTGTGTGCGGGGCAGCATGTGAGGGACCCCGATCTGGGGGTTAAGTGGCCTGGAGATAAAAAAAAAAAAAAACCAATAAGAAATGCAAGTAAGGTTGTATATGACAGCTTTATTTCAGAAATATATGGATATACATATACATAAAGTCAGGTAGCTACTAAACAGTAAAATCAAAACAGATCTGCAGAAAATAAATATATAAACTATTCCTCAGAGCGCTCTCAAAAAATTGCAATTGGATTTGCTCTAATGTTACATAAGGCCTGCTTAAAAGCATAGTAAGCATTAAATTCTGAAAATAACCAGTGCAGTGTTAAATAAATTCTGTGCTTAAAATATTATATATATATATATAGAGAGAGAGAATAAATAAGTGACGAACTGACTTACTTTAAAAAATAAAAATAAAAAAAAAAGACTGTGACAAACAAAGAATGTCTCTGTGCCTTGTGAATGAGTGGATGCGTGTCTTCTTGCATGAGAAGTAAATGCTGCTTTCGCTGGATCTTCTCCTGAAATGACTCAGTTTTTAATAGAGGGAGCAGCTGCTTGAGAAACGGTGCGGTCCATGTTTCTGCTAGACGGTTATTTAGTTCGAGAGACTGTGGAAACAATAGAAAAAGAATTTATCGTTAGTGTGAGGACAAGTAAATCCTTTAAAATACAAAAGTTGCATGGTTGTGGTTATAAAGGAAGTATTTTGTCTGATTATGGGCCGTGGAGTCAGCTGGACTCCCTCGCTCTCACTGTTTTTCTGTGTAACATGCAGTTTTAAGCAATTTGTGACTTTAGAAAGGATATTTTTCGGTGTTTTGGACGTACCTTAAGGCTCCTGGTTAGGGTAATCAGGAGATCCTTCCTCTCGGACAGATCTAGTGAGAATGACTGGAGTTTCAGCCTGGGGACCTGACTCCACCCACTTTTACACACAAGAATCCCATAGTCTAAAAACAGCACAGGGTGCTGCGAAAAGCAGCTCTGAACTTCTCAGGATCATCTTTATGAAAACCATAAAATTAACAAATAATCAGTCAAGAAATAAAATATTTGTTAAATCTTGCTATAAAACAAAATCCAATAATTGTCTTGCCTCAACTTTAAGAACCATTAACGTTAATGGCTGGATTTTGAGACGCTGAATAATGAAAAAACAGATAAACTAAGTATTATTTCCTGTAACCTGGCTAGAAACTGTACCAGGCTGTTTTGAGTTAAAAACTGGTAGTTATTTTCCCAAAATAAAAATAGATAAATAAAAAATGAAAGGAGGGATCTTGCATTTGGGATAGATTGTGCCTAATGTTTAAAACCTGTGTAGAACTGATTTGATGATTCAGAACAAATTGTGCATAGGAAGTAGTCTAGATTTACCTTTGGGTCAATAAAGTCGACTAATTATTAGAAACCATCGTTGATTTTGATTTGTAAAAAGAGAAAGTTCTGTCATTTCAATCCAATCAACATATTTAAGGAAAACGTTTGCTGTGCATTGTGGCGGGCATGAACTTTACTGGGTGGGCCTGTCACAACCAGCTGCAAAGAATGTTTGGGTCTGACTTCTATACAAAGAGAACCTGGAAGCCCTCACCAAAAGCTGTGACTTATAACATCAAGACGGGGAGCACTACAAGATGGACAAAGAGGCAGAAACTTATTTGCCCTGCTGCTGATGAAACAAAGTACAAAAGGGGGAGCATGTGTGCTAACATGTGAACTTTAATCAATGACGGTGGTCATCCTGGACTTACAAAGAGAGGCTCAAAAGAGACTGTTTCCTATGGTTACACCCAATAAAAGAGTGCTTGCTGCAGTCAGGTAATGAACAAGGCTTTTTGGCAACAACCAGTTGAATTGATGAAATGTCAGAACTGTGGAAAATTTACTAAACTACTGTAGAACATAGTTAACTGAGAAAGTTAGCCTAAAAAAAAAAAAAGATAATAATAATATCAATAAATAAATAAATAATAGGATTAGTAACCTGGATTTCAGCCCAACTCACCATTGGACGTCAATATAATCTTTATTGTCTTAGGATTCTCAGCTGCAGCGGACATGCAGTAAAGCCTTATTTTCTTTTCAAAACGGAATACATCAGCGTCATCACTTATTTTCATTGGTTAAGGAAACGGTGTCTATTTATAAGTCTAGGAGAACGCTTTAGGCTTCAACAGTTTTCTCCTTCGAGCAAACATGCGCAAATTTTTGAACAGTTCCATCCCATTTCATTCATTGCATAAAATAACAATTAAATGAATAATTTGGCGTTCAGCTGACTAAATGATTCATGGAACATCTCATCCGAGACAACAGAGTTTTTTCAGCTCCGTTGAGTTTCCCAACAGATCTAGCCAAACCTAGCTGATCCTATATTTTTATATCAGCTGTAAGTTCTAACGTAGAAAATAATGTCACAATAATATTGAATAATTGTACCCCTCATTCGATAAAAATTATGTTCACATTTTTATCTTGTGAAATCTTTAACATAATATTTTTAATTGGCCTTTTTGACGACAATTGGCTAAAAAGTCTTTAAGATTATCATCACAGGATGGCATGATAAATAAGTAAATAACAAATAAATAAATAGATAAAAATAAGAGAGAAAAAAAGCAAAATTAATTAAATGAAACGTAATAGTAATAAAACGTTAAATTGATCTAAAATCTGTCATTCAGTGCCACTGGAAAAAGGAAGAGGATAGGGGAGTATTTCTTAGCACAAATCACGTTATTGATTTAGCAATGCAGCTTAATTTCAGACGCTTTAAGGATGATACTAACTTGTGTTATAGATGGAGGAGTAGCACAGAAACACACTTCTAGATGAGGAGATAAGGAAAAAAAACTGCTGATTACCAATACTATGCACAAACAAACCTGTAACTGCAGTTTCGTTATTTATGAATTAACCTTAAGTAGTGAATTAATTCTTAGGATTTCTTGTGCGAGTAGTGTTCTTAAAAAAGAAAGAAAGAAAGAAGGTAAGAAAGACAAGTAGTTTAGGTAAGGGACAACCTGAAACTATTTGGTTGAATTGATAGTAAAGTGGTTGTCCTAATTTCTAATTGGAGAGATCACACCGCAACATGAGTTTAGAACGGCAGTTATGGGAAGTTTTGTTGGATTAATTTGATTACACGCTTTAGGTCTTATTTTTTTCTTTCCACTGATTTAGCGTTAGGTTAAGTGTTTTCACACTTTCGCTTCAGTCTGACATTTGCTTGGTGTGTGAGGGCACAGAGACGTGTATGGACCGTGTGTTTGACTGTGTTTGTCTTGTTTGTTTGTTTATTTATCTATATGGGTGTGGCTGAGCCTTGAGAAACATCAACAAAGCCATTGGGCTATTCTGAGTAAATTGACCAATTCAAATTCAGGATCCTGAAACAATTTGGCTATAACCTCTAATTGATGAAGGACATCTTAAGAATTCATTGTACAAGGCTTCCTCTCCAGTGTTGCCGGAACTGTTATAAAACCCATGCATGATTGTATATTTTAGTTTGATCATTTATACTCATTGAATTATTGTTGTTTGCTTTATGTTTTAATTTCTTTGTAATTTTTTCTCTGTGACACAGGTGGAGATGCTGGTGGCAAAGTGGATCCCACTCATTTCTTTCTCCCACACACATTCTTACTCTCTCCCTCTCTCTCTGTGTATGTGCATGTGTATGTGTTTGTGTGTCTGTGTGTGTCCATGTCGTGATGTCACTGTACCTTTAATTGCGCTGGCTGTTTGTAACTGTATGTGTCTGATGTTGAAGGTATCAGAGGCTAGGGTCAGTAAGAGCTAGGACATTTTTGTGCATAACCTTTAATCCCTAGGCGATCGGTTCAGGGAACTTCTGGTCCGGCCGGAGTGTGAATCTTCCTACCAACTATCTGCCGAGATCAAGGACTGCACAAGCCGAGAAAGCCTTCATTGGACCAAAACTACACACACGAAGATACTTCGCCTTCGGTGCCAGGCGTCGACTGGGTCCTGCTAAAAGTCACCAAAAGAAAGTGGACGGAACCAAGGTGGACCGGGCCATACAGGATCACGGAGAGGACGTCACACGCTGTCCGGCTGGACGGGAGGATCCTAACCTGGAAGAGAAGCAGCCAACATCTGCCTGACCAGGAGAAGTACCCAAGGACCAGGACGAGAAGCAGCTGACATCTGACCAACCAGAGAAAGGATCCAAAAACCAGGAAGAGAAGTAGCTGACTACAGTAGCGTGCCAAGCTACCAATTCTGCGGGACGAGGTAGCATGCCAAGCTGCCACCACATCCTGCAGGACGAGAATCATGACATCATCACCCCCTGCAGCTGCCTGGAGCCAGTGAAGGGACCTCAACAGGGGGAAGAAGTAACCACCCTATGAACATTCTACAAGGGTTCTATTTAACACCCTCATTTATTTTACAAGGGTAATATTTTACACCCTCCACCTGCTGACCCAATTATCCAGATGCCCTTGTTACTAGCCAATCCTAACATCTATTTGGGAGGGGAACCCTCTGATGAAAGTGATGACTCTCATGATGAAGAAGATGTTGTTAGAGTGTGAGAATATTGAGTGATTTATGTAACAATCCCTTAAACTGTTTATTTCTATGAGTTTTTTGATTGTGTTGTTTTTATTTTTTGATCATTGATGTCCTAGGCATGCCCACTCTGTGCCAAAAGGCGTTCGCTCCAAAATGGGGGGACATGGGGGAATTTTCCCTATTTGACGTACGATAATTAGGGTTTTTCGCCCTCATACGGTGAGCATGCGATCCATTCATGTTGTAACATGTTCAGTTAAATATATGATCATGTTTTTTGTATTAGTTTACTGCTAGAAATATGAGAAAATGTAATCTGATTGATTGTTTGTATTTGTATTTTAAAACTTTGCTTATTTGATTCTTTTTGATGAAATTTGGTGTTGTTGTTTTGATTTCCTACATCTTTGTTGAACTCTTAAAAGAGTTCAAAAGGGGGATTGAAAATATATGTAACTCTCATATAAGCTCTTTTATTATTCATTGTTACATGCTACTCTTTTCATTATGGGATCATGTTATAATATTAAAGGCCTCTCTGTGTTTCTCTCCTGCACAAGCTCTTAAAACAGCTGCAGGAACTCCAAAAGGGAGTGAGACATTGCAGTCTCTTCTTGTACCAGGTTACCAAGGATGTTTCTGCTCATCTTAAGAATTACAAGTTCTTGTGACATGTTAGATCCTGCCTAACAAGGCAATATATATATATATTTACCTTATAAGCTCATTTTATTATTCTATGCTATGGAAACTCGCTCAGATACTCAAGGCCTCCACACAAAGATTAATAGCTGTGTATCTTCTCCTGCACCAGAGAAAGGAGTGTGCACATTCCATCTCCACTCAGTGCCTCTCCACACCGTGAATGTATCTTCTCCTGTCATGAATGTATCAGGATGTTCCTGGTAATTTCAAGGATGAATGTTCTAGACTGTCCGCTAACAAGGCTGTTATTTTCACCTGTCATAATCATTGACGTATGTACATGGCAAACTGCGTATGTAACATTCCTGTAATCTTCAATAAAAATCAGCCGTTTTCAGTAGAACGGCGAGAATCTGTCCGATGCAACTGACAGGAGCAGATCGCGGGACCTGCTGTGTGTTGCAAAGGCTCTCCCTCATGAGCGGTGAAACAGTGAATGGACTTCTGATCATTTGTCTCCTCGTTCTGTCAACTTAAAAGGTGTTTAACTCCATCTTCTCCGTACCCGTGCTTGGTCTAACAGAAGAAAGACCAACACTTAGCAGATTTAAAACATAAGCTCTAAACACTAAATAATGCAGGAAAACAAAAACACTGTGTTGTGTGGTTTACTATCATAATTATTATTAATGTTATTTATATTGCAAGTTCAAAAAGGTAATGATATGAGAGTAATGTTATGTGTTACAGTTTTATTTTGAAGGGCAGTTCAATGAGCAGAAAAGGTGGTTTCTGGTTCTGGTTAACATGTGTTTGCCAAGAAAACCTGCTCTGTTCTGAACTGTTCTGTGGATAAATGGAAAAGTTATAAGCCATGCGTTAGGACCAACAGTCTGAATAAAAGAGACCGTAACCCGAGGGAGTCAGAGTTGTTACGTAAATAGATTTATTTATTTACTTATTACCCATATCAGATGCTAGCGGGAGGAACACGTTATCCACCACAGAAATGCATCTAGCATTAGAGCTAAGGAAAATAATCAAGTAATCAATGCATCGATATGTGGACAAATGATTCTAATCGTAAAAGAAGCATGCTATAATCGATTATACTGGAATGTCTTAACTCCACTGTACTGAGCTGTTTGGAGTTAGCAGGGTTCCTATGGGCTTCATCAAGTTAACCACTTTTTAAGACCCCCTGGGAACCCTGGTCAGGTAAGGCCGTTGGAAAAGGCCGGTTAGCTTCTCCTCTGCCACCACACACCACATTCCATTGTGCAACATTCAATTGTTCATCTAAACGAAAAGCATCATAGATCAGACTGTGTAGGAGAGGACAGATTATGCAAGTTGTTTATACTCACATTCGTAACTTCTCTGGGTTCAACAGAAACCTCAAGTCAGTGGAGGAAGATGATGACGGTAAGCCAGCAGCCATGTAGTTGCAAAATCTTAAAGAATGGCTTGCTGCTTGTTTGGCGTTCTCCCGGTCCTTCTTTCCGGTTCGAGAACCCAGGCGTAATCTCTGGAAATCGGTTACAATATTTTCTGCAATAAAGAAAAGGTTTAACAGTCATTGCACAACTTCACTATCTGTCCATCAGCTATAGAGGTGGAGACATGCATCCTGGAAAAGAGAGGAAGGAAGATTAGTGGCAGCAAGGTGTGTGTTAACGAGAGAGGTACAAGTGGTATAATGCGGTCACATACAAGGCAGACGGCTTGGGGTTTATGGTTCAAAGCACCCGAGAAAAGATGTGAAAGAGTGGAGATAAGGGTCAGGTGTGATAAAAGGGGTTCAGGAAAAATGAAAGGAAATTTGTCCATGAAGACGAGACAGTAGGCAGAATTGAAGGTTGCTGTGCTCTAGATATAGAGGTTCTTGATAAGAGGGACAGTTCATGTTAGATGTTTTGGGTATATAATCAGAGGCAAGACATAGATGCTCTGGACATGTCCAGGGGAGAGACATTAGGCGTGTTTCCACTACAATAACTTCAGGGTAGCTTTACAGCAACCTCCAGACATGTGTGTGTCTCCACCTGACTGGGCCGTCCAAACGGCCATTTTTCAGGCTGTTTTCAGGAACCTTCAGAGTACCTGTTCAGGATTAGGTACTCCGAACGGCCCGGTGGAGAAGCTGAGCGGAACCTCTGGTTAACTTGCGCTGATTGGTTCCAACTCAGTAGGAAATGACATCAGCAGATGGCCAAAGCAACCAGCAGCAGTAAAAAATATGCAGACCCGATCGCATTTAAAACCCAACTCTCGACACCAGAAAACTCGCTGGAATTCCACCACAGACTTAATTAACGGGATTTGTCTCACAAAACACAGCTGCTCTCGTCGTCTGAATAGATTAAATTATATAATTTGATAGGATAAATGCTTTTAATACTATTAATGTTACTTTGGGAACTTTTTGGGGATGATCAGTGACATCACTCACTGCCAAAGCAGTCACAATATGCTGACGTCTGTGCAAAGTTCTGGAAGGGCTGAATTTGAATGGAAACAACAGCTGAGAGGACTCGTACATCCTATCTCCTGGTCAAGTTCCCCATCCCAGGAACCACCATGGAGTTCCGGTAATGGAAACATGCCTACTAATGACATAGGTAGAAGGATGCTGAGGTTGGTGCCACTGGGTAGGAGGCTGTGAGGAAGACCAACAAGGAGATTAATGGATGTGGTGAAAAAAGACATAAGTGATGACTACTGATGAGAAGAGACCCTCTACTGCCCACACAAAAACAGAAAAGGAAGATTCGTCAGTAACAACTGTACCACTGATGAACAGGAAGGGGTCAAAACTGTCAGCTGAAAGATAAAAATGACAACTTTTACTAATGTGTAAAACTATGAATAGACAGGACATTAACATGTCAGTTTTTTTCTTCTGACCAAACATTTACTGGAAAATAAAAAGCTTTCTTACCAAATAAATGTGTGAATCTTCTGCCCTTGCCCACATGGTCTCCTTTTTTTACAGAAGACGGACATCCGGTGCTCCTCGCACCTGGAGGTCCAAATTCCACTATGTTGTTCAACTTGTCCTCCAAGCCTTTTAATTTGGCATTAAAGGCATTTTCAAACACCTTGAATCTGTCTTCCAAAAATCTGAAGACTGTGGGTGAAGACATGTCCATCTCAGAGCCAATGCACGAGTCTGATGCAGGTCCACCAGAGGAGGAGGAGGAAGAAGCCACATTAATGTGAAGAGGTAGCGCCACAGGATTCTCATCCTGGTTGCTGACAGTTAACACATTTCCAGAAGGGCTGTGATCAGACGTGCTCAAGTCGACCTTTTGGCCTGACTCCAATTCCTGAGAGTCCACCGTCTCCACAGTCTCAAACCCTTCCACCATGCCGTCATCAAGCTGCTCATTAGCAGGGGAAGCACTTCTGCCTATAGGAAGAAAATAGTTTCAAATTAAAAACTAATACGAACGTTTTTGGATGTTTCTCACTGGCCCAGCCTCCAACATTTAGTTTTTAGTGTTCTACAAACCCCAAAGCACTTAACACAATCATTCACTCATCCACACGCCAGAGGTTATGAGCTACATTTAATAAAAACAAAATAAATAAAAAACATTGTCACACCGAAACAAAGACATTACAATCACTGTAACCAAAAACTAAAGGAATGAGCTGAAGCTGAGGCTTCTTATTTGCCTATCCTATGTACAGCAACCTCACTGATCCATCGTTACACAAGATCAAAGAACAAAAAGCAACAACAAAACACAAATTCTGACAACTTGCTCATGTTATGTTTGTTTTATTTTGTGTGGCTTGGATTTGAGCAGTTTACTCACTGGGAATATTTGCCCTCAGATCCTTTCTGCACCGACTACTCATGGGGATGTTTCTTTCACAAGGATGAATGTGAAAAGAACTGGTTACATCCATTGAAAATCTAAAGCAGCTAGTTTGGAGCCTTTTATCACCTACGCTGGATGCTCTGAACCCCTTTGAGAAATTTTCAGCTCAGCTAGGTAAAACGGCTGACGGATTCGGCTGTGGTCTTAATTTACTTTTTTACAGTTCTTACATATTTTAACCCAGCAATCTCTATGAAACATATCATATTGAGATGTTACCAATACTGATAATGGTAAATCCCTAGTTGACGTCAGGTTCGTCACAACAAGGCAGGCAAACTAGCTGCCTCGGGCCCCGAGCTAGTTAGGAACTTTTAACTGACAGCATGCTCTGTCAAATTGTGAGAAATGAGCCACTGCAAATCGCATACATC